GGGCAGGGGAGAAATCCAATAAATAATAATAATAATAATAATAATAATAATAATAATAATATAATTCAACATTCCATTAACATCTTTAACATTTAATGATTTATCCATAATATAGGTAAATATTACAGTATATTAATTATATACATTACAGTATATACATTAATATAGTATCTCAAAAAACATACCAAATGATCATATGACCATATCATATGGGTCAGTGAACCCTCAAATTTTTACACTCCAACATAGAAAATCTGATCTCCATCCTTTCAGATACATTCTTTGAGGAGTCCAATATACTCTAAATACAATTTTTTGATGAATCAGTTTTGATCCTGGATCTGTAGATACCATTTTAATGTTTTTAAAGACATGAATCCATTGATGGAGCTTTATCAGAGATTCTAGTTCTTTAGTTTATGTTTGAAATCCAGAAATGTCCACTCTAAAAATATTCTAGAGGTTTTGATAGATATATATTATAGGTTTTAATTCTGTCATGGATTCCATCAAGTAAGAGAGTAACTCAGGTGCCTTTGACAGATCCATATTGATCTGTCAGAACATGGTTACCTCCACTGTTGCAAATTGGGAAGACCACATTCAATTTGAAGTTGGAAAAAATAGAACAACAAAGATTTGTAGTAATAACTGAACATTAGTGAAATAATGTTTCTTTTTTTCTTTTGTTTTGAGCTTTTTTTTTTACATTTAAAATATTTTATTGGTAAAGTATAACAACTAGAAGATATGATGAAGTACAACCAAAAATATAACATTGCTAATATAATTAGAAAAGAATATACAAAGTAGTTATCAATTGAGTGACATTTGAAGAGGTATAGCCATAATGTATTAGTATAGAATAAGCTCAATCCGTTAACATATTATAAAATCTAGCTGTATAGACTTATCAGTTTTAACACAGTATATTATTTTAGTACAATAATATTTATAGAATATACTTAATATTATGTTATTTAGATGCCGTAGGGTAATGACTACAGATAGGTGGATATTCTATCAATGTTAGTTTTGGATGTTAAAGTTACAAGCATTATGATTATTTAGCCTTTTCTTCAAAATTAAATATAACATTAGGAACAAGTGAAAAAATAAAGGAAGAGCATACATCAAGGCATTTGTTTTATAATAAGGGTTTTGATCTTAAGCTAAATTACTTGATATTAAAGTTCCATCATGTTATTATTTGTGTGTATATATGTTTTATGTATCTATGTGTGAATATGGGTTTATGTGTTTTTATACATGTTGGTAAAGGAAAATAAGTGAACCAAAGAAAACAAGTTTAGCAAATTTGAAATACTAAAAAAATAAAATAAAAAAGGCAAAAAAAGAGAATAAAAAATTGAAAAAAGAAAAAGAAAAAAAAAGCTGTTAAGTTTCCGACTTCTCCCCTTTTATGCATCTGCTAGTTTGTAATATTTACAAGAGTTTAGGCCCCCTAAAAACCAACCTGTAGATAATTATATATATAAAAGACATGCTGCATGATGTGTTGTAAATATGGGAACCATTCTTGCTTAAATTTAGTTGAACTTCTATTGTTACTATTAGTTGTGCCATTGCTGCATATTCTCCAAATTTGAGTTCCCAATCAAATATTGTCAGAATTGTTTCTTTCTTCCAAAGTTGAGCATAATTTATTCTTGCTGCTGTAAACATATATCTCATTAAATTATTATATTTCTTGTTGATTTTTTCTGAAATTATTTCTAATAAAAGGAGTTGTGGTTTCATTTGAATTTGAATTCCAATTTTTTTTGCATTGTCCTATGTATGTCTTTCCAGTATTTTTGCACTTTTTTACATGTCACCACATGTGATAAAATGTTCCTTCTGCTTCCTGACATTTCCAACATGTATCACTGTATGTATGATTTATCTATCTTAGATATTATTGGTGGAGTACTATACTATGTGAAGTAATGTTTCAATCCCTACAAATTGTACATTTTACAGACTCTCTTACCTCAGTGACTGCTATGAATTTACTCATCAATCAGGAAATTCCTGTAGTCATCTCTGCAAAATCAGAGTTTGAAGGCTGCCTTGATTTTAAAATAGGTTAGTACAATAGAGAACCACTGTTCGTTTTAATGTAACATACTGAAAAAGAAGTATCTATCTCTGGCTTACAAGAGCACCACTTGAAAGAGAAATAAAGATCTACATGATGTAGTTATCGTTAGGGTTAGCACACTTAGGTTTTGAAGAGTCACAGAGGCTGGGTTCACATAATGAGTTAAGTGGTGATATACAGTAGTTTGTTTTAGCGTATTGTATGAACTCAGCCATTGTGTCTCCATAAATCAAGGTTTATGACTTATGACTTTATTGTTTTATTTGTTATGGAAATATATATCCTCCCTGTACTCAGACAGCCCCATTGTGTAAATCTAGTGTGGCTTATTCAATAAACCATGGTAGAATCAAACGATGGCTTAGTGTAATGTTTGAATTTATTTTATGAAATGCAAATACAAAAGGGGCAGAATTCACATTTTGTGACTTTGTGATGCACATTTGATCATTAGGCCCTCTCACTGTCCCTCTTTAAGTGCCCATGACATGAATAGCTATGCTTCAATATCATATGATATAGAAGTTCTTCAAGTACCAGAGCATTATTTACAAAAGGGTGGTATCAGGAAACTCAAGAAATTACAAGGTTTATAAATGTACAAAATAATCTATAGTAAAATCAAAGTAAACTAATAAGAGTGAGGGTATGGTTAATTGGTAGCTGGGATCCTGACGAGCAGTATTTCACATAACAGAATTCTGTTGCAGAACCTGATTGTTATTTCTGATTTTGATTGTGTCCTAAAGCTCATAGGAAAAAAACCTTTTCTTCAGCATGGCTGAATTCTTGGCTGTTTGATACCCAGCCTCAATGCACCACACAAATGGCTTTTGAAATTTCCTTCCATTTCCTATATTTGGTGTGTAACCTGGGTAATTGCTATATCCACAACACTGCTATTGGTTCATAAAAGTTAGATTATCATTGGAATTTCAATCTGATCTTTGCTTTCAGCAAAAAAGAAAACCTTGCAAATTAGTGAACTCAAATTGATTTTGCCATGGAATGTAAACTCTTCAGATTAAGTCCAATTTTTAAAAAATCTTAGGAAAAGAGAAAGAAATTCCAATATGCAAATATTCCATATTTCTTGCATCTCAGAATGTATAGGTAAAGATGAGAGGAACAATTTCATCTAACAGTATATATTGAATTGAATCTTACAAGAGTTACTGAATACATAAATTCTCAGCTTAAAGAAGGTGAAGACACTTTAGATTTGAAGATTGAAGGCTGAAAGAAATAGAGAATAATGATTTCAGGAGAATAGAAATAGCCACAGGAATGTACAATTACTATCATCTGATAATTGTTTTGTAAACCGCCCAGAGTCGTTTAACGAGATGAGCGGTGACAAATTTGAGAAATAAATAAACAAACAAACAAACTCTTAACAGGAAAGCTGCTTGTGTACACACACACACAAAGGTGGAAATCATGT